AGAGAGAGAGAGAGAGAGAGATAGCACTCCTGGTCGAAAAATCTTTTTTTTATTTATTTATTTTATATTTTTATTTTTCTTTGCTTCTTTTTCCAAAAATGTTAATCGAGTAAAATTTGAAGATCATTTTCTACTAGATCATTGTATATTGTTTATCTTTATTTTTTTCTTTTTACCCTTTTATTTTATTTAGGTGGACCGTAAAGTAATGTCACTTTTTAACCTCAAAATTCAAATGAATAAGTTTATCAAACAAATTTTTATTATTAATCAATAATTCAATTAATTACGTTATCAACAACCATTTTTTTTATCTGCAATGCAAAATTTTTAATATAATTTTTATTTAAAAAAATTTTATTGAATAAAAAATTAATATAATTATGTAATTATATTATATTAAATATTAATATCAAAATTTGACATGCGTAGTAACGATCATTACTTTTCGCGGTTCTCCCTTAATATACAAGACGTACAAATTAACCTTGAAATTTTACTCGCGCAAAAAATGTAATGCAAAAATCATAGAGTTCATAAGTGCGAAGATCATGTTTAATACACTACAAGATTGTAACATTCTATAGTACTCTAGAATTACAACACGTGATATCTCTTAAATGTTCTTTATATTACAAGTAATCACATACATAATCGTTCTCCATTTCTCGATTATAAATTTACTTTGTTTTCTTTTTTATTTCTTCTTCAAAGATATATAAATACAAATCGTGTACACTTTATTCAGCTTTTTTAACATGTGTAGAAAATAATTGATTTAATTAAAATACACATTTGTTTTCAATCTTAAATAAATAAAATCAAAAAATAATTACTTGTCACGAAGATCTCGCGTAAGTCTCTCTGTGAATTCAAATCAGTGCTTTTAAACAATTAATTTTTTTTTCATAAAAATCAACATAAGTGTTTTTAAATACTTTTATAAATATTAAAAAATATTGAATATAATAATTAATGAAATATTTCATATTACTTTTGAAAATACAAATCTCTTCATTGAGAAGAGTAGTCAATTAAACAAAAAATCAATTGATATATTATATATATTTATATATATGTATTAACTTGTGATTACTTGTGCGTTAAACCCTGTAATCAAACAGTGGTTATTTTTTATAGCATATTATCAGCATGTGTATAACAATATTGTAGGTGTTGCTTTTTTTTTCTTATATTATTCTTGCATTCCCAAAATATAACCTAAAACCTAAATATAAATAAATAGTTTATGATAAAACGTATGTTTATAATAATAATAATAATAATAATAATAATAATAATAATATAATAATAATAATAGTATTATCATCATAATAATAGTTAAAATACAAATGTCCGAACTTTTTCCATGTGAAGTAAAAAAAAAATTAGTAATAATTTTTTCTTCCAAAAATTTCTATATATAATATGATAAATATTTTACTATAAAGACACGTATTTCATAAAAACTTGACATAGGCCACCGAGATACAATTATATTAGAAAAAGAAAAATTTGTTTCATCATCATCTTCGTTTTATTCTTTTTTTTTCTTCTTTCTTTTACTTATGTTTTTGTTAATGATAATATATTTATTTTGTATATATTTATATACTATTGCGGAATATATATATATTCTCTTGGGAATTCTCAGGACACAAGTGGAGTCAACTAGTAATTTATATGTTATGATATTTAAAAAACAAAAAGAAAAATTCAAATATAACTTCACGATGGTAACGGTGATTTAACAAAAAAAAAAAAAAAAACAATTTGAAACGATTATTATTACACGAGCCTACAAAAGGTGTAAACAAAAAACAAAAGAGATAGATAGATAGATAGAGAAAGATGTACGATTATAAATAATTAATCAGAAAAAACGTACAGAGATTTATGAAAGTTAATAGGATTCTCTACTTTTAATAAGATGTATTATCCTTTATCTTTGTTTTTTTTTCTCATAAAAGCATTTTGATTTGTATATATTTAGAGACATACACACATGCTATTTTTATTCTGTTGGTTTAACGTGGATGCTTTTTTTTCATTCTAAATAATCTTTTTGCAGGCCTTCAATTTTCAATCTTATTTAAGTATTATCAATATCAATGAAATTCATTTATCAAATACAAACATTAGATGCAAATAATATCATTTTTCTCATTTTCAATAGTTACATGGCCATATTATCTTGTTTTAGATATTAAAATTTAATCGAAATTAAGCATTCTTTGCCAAAAGAGCATCGATCAGTCTAAGTCTTGCCTTAGTTTGTTTGTATGATTCATAAACTGTCGTGACTTGGGGGCCACGATCTTCTCTTTGCATACGACGTCCTGCTCGTGCTTCAAATTGGGCTTCTAATTCTTTCAAAGCCCTTCGAAGACGTTTCTTTTCTTCCCTTGTAATCCTTTGTTGAACCAATAATTCTTCACTGAAAATTCAGAAACAAAAGAAAACAATTATATTATTTGAAAGATTGTTTAGATCAGGGATTCCCAAAGTGGAGCGCTATTGCCATCTGGTGGATGGCGGTAGAAACATTAATACATATATATTTTCTATTAATTTGCTATAATATTTATTATATAATATATTTATATGTATTAATATAATATATTTATAAAAAATATTTATATGTATTGACATACATATATAATTCCTATTAATTTTCCTATAATATATTTCCAATTAATAGCTACTAAAATTAAAAAAAAAAAAATTAATATCCAGAGGGCGCTAAGTAATGTTTTTCTGGAAAGATGACGGTAGGACAATTACTTTGAGAATCACTGGTTAGATGAATAATTAGTTAAATAGTATATTACTGTGGCATAGCATGAAGGCTTTCACCAGCGCTACGACTTCCTTCACTACTACTGTGTTGACTATCACTATCTGTTGGAAGTTGGTCTACTGTTTCAATACAATCTAATATGCCTCTATGAGACATGTCTGGTTCGCTAGCTCTTCTTTCCGCATCCGTTGAATTGTTTGGCAATGCGGATGAAGTAAAATCCATTGCTTCGTGTTCTAAGATTGTTGCTAATTCCGAAATACTATCCTTATTTTTACTCTGTAAAATTAAATAGAAAAAAAAATATATGTATATATAATAAAATAAAATATTAAACATACATCAATAATAATAATTAGAATCATGTCAACTTACTGCTCCTGATCTGATAAGTAATCTTTTCAAAGTTCTGTATCTATCGTACAACGGTCGTACGATAAATCTATCATCTTTGGAAACTGGCCTACCAAATGTATTTTCAATATGAAGTAAAGCCTTTTGTACCGCAGTTTTTTCGTCAAACAATTGTTCATAAGTCAATTCTTCCATGTTATCAGGTCGATTACATTTTAATCGTTTTTCTGTAAGTTTCTTTTCCACTTCTATTACCATTTCTTCCATCGACGCAGTTCTCGATTTTTCTTGACTGTTATTATTATTAGTTGGACTTACAGCAGTATTTAATTTGTTATTGGCATTAGCAATAAGCGCGCCAATTGGATCTTCTTTTAACATTTTATGTTCCTTCCTTAATTTATTTAATTCCGTGCATAATCTTTTGATATCACGATTACTCATTTTGTCCGAATGACTTGGACGATAACCAAAGTTCTCTTCAAATTCATCCTCATATTTTTTAATCTTCTTCTTCAAACCGTTAATATGTTTGGTTAAATTTTTCAAACCAATCTCGGAAATATTTGGTGCATTTTGTTGCGTATCATTATTCTCCGAGTAGAATCTTCTAGGTACCAGCAATGAATTTCTAGGTGATAGCATAGCTTCTACTCTTGCATCAGAAACTTCTTCCTGATTATGTAATAAATATTATAATTTATATTATATTTATTAAAATATCATAATACACACATGTATAAAAAAGTACGTACGTTTCCTGGTCGATGTTGAAAACCCCAATTAGTTAGACTAGGATTATTTCCATCTTCATGATCAACGGTTGGTGGCCGAGCTGGTGATGGAGACCTGCTAGGTCCACTGCTCAACATTTCAAGAAAACTTTGTGCCGGTGATCCATTGTGATCATTTGGGCTTGGGGATACTGTATACATATTTTCATGTTCTTCATTTTCCTATTAAAAATAAAACAACGTTATACAATCCAATATATATATATCATAATATTGACAATATGAAATTGGGATCTCTAGCACTTGAATGCGCTATCTGGTGGCTAAATTTAAAATTAGAGTAGATAGGTCGAATTGCTACGCCACGCCCCTGCTAGAGATCCCAATACTTGTAAAAATGAATTGTCCCAAGCCCCGGATAAAGGGGTGGAGGGTTCAAGGGTAGGGTTAGCAACCTACCCTCGGTAAAACAAAAACATTGCTTTCAAAATTAACAAAATAACATCTTCAGGCTTTAAGATGAAAAAGATGAAGATTTTATTTTACACAAAGGTTTATTAATTTATACCTTGCTTGAACTTTGATCAGTGTCTGGTACTTTGTGAATTCTTCTTCTACGTGCTTGTCTTCTTCCTCTTGGAGTAATACTTCTGCTAAATCTTTCACTGTTCCTTAAACGTTCAGCATCACATTCAAATCTCTCGCTTGCCAATACTGCTTCGCATGGTGATGGTACCGGTGATGGTTTTTTAGAAACCGGTGATACATTTGTTCTCTCGTGCAGAGGCAAACCTCCGCATCTCTGTAAAAGATTAATACAAATATATACACATATTTATAAATTTTTGTAATCAAAAGTTTGGAATTGTTTTTTTCCATATATGAAAATATTTTGATGATCAATTTCTTTATAATATAAAACATTAATAAATTAAAAAAAGTTTTAAATAATCTTCTTAGCATTTATCCTTTTGTTTATAATGCTCTCTTGTATATAGTTTATACAATTAATTTTACTTTACCAACTTTTACAAGAAGCATGAAACAATATTCAATTGGAAACACACAACGTAGAAATTAATTTTCATAAAGGGGTGCTTTAACAAAAAAAAAATATTAAATAAAATAACAAAAGCAGTCGTTTCTATAATATATGAAAAATAGGTAATTCAAAAAAAAAAAATATTCCACTCACTTGAATAAAAAAAAAAAATATAATATACAACAAGACGTTCAAAAAATCACTACTACTCATATAAAATTTCTTGTTGACAAATAAATCTACCTCGGTTACGTTAAGGGCATTCATTTTTATTTTTTTTTTCTTATAAATAATCCTGCGTTTCTCAGAATTAATTAACGTTGCTTTTATTCCAAACTTTTGGCCCGATGAGAAAGTGTGTATATCATCTACAAATAAGAACAAAATAAGAAACGTTTGTTCCTTTGTTTGATTTTTTTTATCTTCCCTCAAATAAAATTATTTAATATAACATATATATTATTTATAATATAATAGATGGATGTGTGTGGATTTAAAAAATAGAATATTTATCTTACCACACCATGACCCATGTCTTGTCCAAGTTGTGACAATATGTTCAAATGTTGTTCGCTATTAAAATCTTCGTGACTACTAACACGTCTTATCGTATCCGATGTATCGTTAGGTGTATCAAGAACACGTTCTTCGCTACTACTTCTGAAAATATATACATATATATAACAAATCGTTATTACATAAACTTACATTTAATTATACGTAGAATTGATTTAATATTGAATAGAAAGAAAATGCGACAATTATATGTAAATATTATAAATGTTTATTTCTTAATAAGGATTAATAGTATCTTTTCATCTAACAAATGGTTTCTTAGTAATATAATTGTATCCTATATATATATATAAATATAATTTTATATAAAATATAAACAAATTTTAAAAAAATTTTTAATTTAAATTAATATAATAAATATAATAAATATTATTATAATTATAATAATATATAATATATATTAGGGTGGGTCAAAAAAATGAATTATTTTTTTTTTACTGGTGCCAAGGAAAAATAGGTTGCTAGACACCTTAAAACAATTCTCACCAAATATGAGCTCTTAATTTCAATAGGAAGATCCTCCGCATTGCAGTTTTTTATTTTTTTTCAGTATAATAGAATAAAATTCATACCTCATTATTTATTGATTGTACAGAAAAATGTTCTGGACGAATTTTGTAGGAAATTTAATGCTCTACAAAAAAGGTATCTTATATTTTTTTCCGTAAACCTCACCATTTGAATGATATTGAAGATTTAAGTTTGATTATTTTAAGACAAATTTCATTTATGTTAATGAATTTTATAACTTGACAATAAATGACTATTATAAAATGCGCAATACAATACAATCAATTAATGATGAGGTATGAATTTTAATCTATTGGACTGAAAAAAAAAATAAACTGCGATGCGGAGGATCTTCCTATTAAAATTAAGAGCTCATATTTGGTGAGAATTCTTTTAAGGTGTCTAGCAACCCATTTTTCTGTGACACTTGTAAAAAAAAAATAATTCATTTTTTTGACCCACCCTAATATATATATATATATATTGGGTTGGCAAGTAAATAATTGCGAATTTTGTTGATAGATGCATTTTTAATATCAGCAATGACTTAGTTGCTAATCCAATAATATAAAATTTATATTAATATATATTAATAAATAAATAATAATAATAATATATATATTTATAAATAAATAAATATATTATAATTATAGTATATATTAATAATATATGTATATATAGGAATACTTTTGTAAAAGTACTCCTACTTATTAGAGTAGTACTACATAGTACTACTATTAGAAATACGTTAATTTGAAAAGAAACTATTATTCAGTGAGCTATTTCGATCATTAAAAAACCAAAAAATTAATCAATGTAAAACATACCTGATCAATTTTCTTTCTTGACAACAGGATTCTCGTCGTTCCTTACGTTTACGCGGTTTTAATGCGCAAAGTAACGATGTACTCTCCGATAATTTACGTTCGTCTTTTGTATCTTTGCAAATTGTGCAATCTTCTGTCGGAAGTATACCGTTTAATGTATTCTCACGAACGCTGTTTTAACAAAGAACAAAATTAGCATAAACCAATTTTCGAACGTTTATAATTGTATTCTTTTTTTAAAAATCCAGTTAAATGTTTCGTTTTTTTTATGTTCTAAATTTGTGTGTCAACTTAATGAGAAGAGTAAGACAAATAATTAAAAAAAAAGAAATAATAATACGGCCGACATAAATTTACAGTACAATTGTACAGTTACAATAAACTCGTCAGGTTTTCCATTTACAGTCATAAAGATTCCATTAGTTTTTTACTTTTTTTTTATGACACATTTGAATCTATTTATGTTAAACGTATTTTACATACAGACACACTGTATATTATGTAAGTTATCCAATTATGTTTGCATATATATATACAGTATATATATATATGTTATATCATTACCAAGTTTGTTGATAATAAGTTTAGTGATGTAATTTTCTACAGTTTACATAGGAATGTCAATAAATCACGTTTTTAGAATATAATTATCTAAAAATAACGAAACGGAAAACGATAATGATTAATTCTGGAATGTTGATTCCATTTTTATATATATATATATTTTTTTTTATTCTAGTATATAAAATTAATTCTTTTGAAAGAAAAGAAAAGAAAAGAAAAGAAAAGAAAAGAAGAAAGAAAAAAAAAAACTAGAAAGAAAGAAAGGATGATTCTTAGACTACCGGTTTTTTTGCGTTTCAAACGTAAACTCTTGAGAAAAGAAAAAAGAAGTAATAGAATTCTTTCGAGTATGAGTCATTTGACCGCTGATAATATTTCGTCGTTTTCTAACCATCATAATATACAACTACATTTACATTTTTGCAATCATTTCATTTACTAACATTGTACAAAACAATATTATTATTTATGCAACGTAAGCATTTCTTTTATTTTCTTTTTTATTTTCTTTTTTTGTTATGGAAAAGTCCCACAATAAACTTTTTAAATTAATATTTAGTCTAATAGTTTTGATTGTACAGATAGTTCAAAAATTATTATTTAAAATATTTATTATATTATTATTATTATTATTATTATTATTATTATTATATATATAATATAAGTATAATATACTTAATATAGTATATTATATATATATATATATATGGATTCTATAATATACTATATACTTAATTATGGTATCTATAATATAAATATAATATTAATATAATATTATTTTATTATATTTTATATTATATTATATAGGTTAAGTTATATATTATAAGTTATATTATATAATAAGTATAATATAATAAAATATTTTTTTCTATTATATTATACTTTCTATTATATTATCATTTTATATTATATAGGTTAAGTTATATTATTAGTTATATTATATAATAAGTATAATATAATAATATATTTTTTTATTATATTTTAATATAACTTAATCTATATAATATAATATAATAATATATTTATTAATATTATTATATAACAATCTTTTTTCTATTTCTTTTATGAGATAAATTGCATCGTCCTACTTTTCTTCCCCAATGCACATAATAAGTGTTTAAAGATTATGTATAATATAAAAAAAAATAAAAAAAAAAAATAAATAAATGCACAACATAGAACAATAAACAGGTAGGACAAGGATCTATACGTGTTGTTCCTTGGATATTTATTAACAAGGAAAGAAGATGATTAAAGATGAAAAGCGGAATTCGTTAAGCGCAAAATTTATTCACGAAGGAATCGATGAATCTATCACGCTCATTGATCTAACATGTCGGTGGGACCAGGCAACTGTGATAATTCAATTAATCCTGATAAACGAGAACGAGTTTATGATGTGCTACCATCTTGTATTCTACCCCCTCCCTACCGCTACGATATGTTTTACCATATATATATGTATGTGTTACTTTTATAATATTGATTATTAATAATAATAATGATGATATTAATAATACGATACGATGATAATATTAAATAATATTTATTAAAATGAAAATCATTTGTACGATGAAACCAATGCAATTTATTTGCGAAATAATTCGAACGAAGACAAATTTTGATTAATCTAATTAAATTAGAATCTTGTTTAAAATAAAAAAAAGGAAATATATAAAAAATAAATTTTTATTAATTGTATCGGACACTTTGAAGAAGTGGAACTTATCTTACGAATTTATTAATTATCTAAGGACGAGAAAAATGCAAACTTTTATGTTTTACTGCGTGCGTCAGCAACAAATTTGATACGTTGACAAACAATGTATTTTTTTTTATAAAATATATATTATTTTCTTTTTTAAATATTTTTTATTGAAATATATTCTTCTTTTAAAATTATAGAAAATGTAAAAAAAGAAAAAAAAATATTTCTCATTAATTATTGCATTTTTATTCTAAATGTTTTGTTAAAAAAATAAAAATAACTAATCGAGTTGTGGTTAGAAGAAGTAGGAGGAAGAAGATCGAGATTAAAAAAGAAGAAGGAAAAAAAAATAAAAGTATAAAAAAAAGACATTAAACTGCAATAGTAAATGAACGAAGTAGAGAATAATCATTAAAGCATAATTCACAGAGAGAAAACTCATCATCAAGTTGGTTTAGCTCGTTTGGTTCTTTTAGTTCGTAAAAACTTTCCATCGAATTCCAACGATATTCTAAACAAACTTTCCTAATTCAGATAAAAAAAAATAATCATTCTCTTTTTAATAATAATAATAATAATAATATCAAAAATCACACATAAGTGTTATATACATATGTTTCTCAACCTTTTTCTTTTCTATTAAAGATTTTATTGACTTCTGTGTAAAAAAAAAAATATATTAGCTGAAAAATAGGAGGAGAATTTTGAGAAAAAGGGTCACTCAAAAAAAGATCATTTTTCAAGATTTTTTTTCGTTTCTTGGAAGGATTCCTAATCCAATCTAACCATGAAAATTTCCGAAAGTAATAACGATACTGTAATATTATTATTATAATACTTTAACATTACTTAATTTATTATTTATATAAATATTATAAAATTTTATTAACATTTTTATTTATTATATTTATATTATATTTATTAAATATTTATTATAATAAATTATATAATATTATTATTAAAATTAAATTATTTAACTAAAATTAATTATATTATTATTAAAATAAATAATAATAATATAATATTATTATAATAAAAATTTCTTAAAAATATAAAATTTAATATTTAATTAATATTTTAATACTATTATTATTATTATTATTATAACATTGAAGTTTTATATATTTTTTTTAGTTTAGATAATAAAATTATAAAACAAAAGTTAAATAGAAAAATACGGGAAACTATTTGTCTTCTATTATTATAATAAAAATTTCTTAAAAATATAAAATTTAATATTTAATTAATATTTTAATACTATTATTATTATTATTATTATTATTATTATTATAACATTGAAGTTTTATATATTTTTTTTTAGAAAAAAGAAATAAAATAAAAGATAATAAATTAAAATAAATAAATAATGATTTTCATTAGAAGCCGGTTTTGATTTCCGATCTAATCGTCATCGTCATAATAATCATTATAATCATCATTATTATTATTATTATTATTATTATTATTATTATTATTATTATTATTAATCATAATATTCAATGAGTATTTGTATTGGAAAATATGCAACTCACTGTACGCGAATAATTCCTTGCTTCCGTTAGCAGCAGCTAACAACACATTCATGTAATCACGAAGACCAACTTTCTTTTCCAATGGCGGAGTAATACCGGCTTGAAGATGACGACGAGTATCACGGTAATTCGATGAAACATTTATAATCGACGATATTAACACTGATTTATATTATAACAAACTGTTATTTTTCAAACAAACAAAAATATAGCAAAATAATTAAAAACTATCACTTTGTATATAATATATCAGTGTGTTTTAATGTGTGTGTGTGTGTATGTTTACTTAAAAGGAAACGATGACGACGACAATTTTGACACGAACTTCTTTTTAAAAATCGTTAAAAGCAACACAAATAGAAAACCAATACATATATGTATATATATATATAAGAAATATAGTCGTAAGCAAAAATAATTAAACACAATTATACTTTGTTCGATAATTATCTAACAAAATTGTTCACTAATTGTCTAATAGAAAAAAAATTCCTTATCTCGTGTGTACATGTATCTCACACACTCACTCACTTTACTCGCATTAACTCACTCACACTTTGCAACACAGGACATCAAAAATGTTTCTTAATTAATCTTAATCAAATAATTATAATAATTATTATTATTATTAAATTTATATTATTTTGTTATTAATATTAAACTTTTTGATGAGATACGTAGTACTAAAACTCTCGTCAGAAAGGCATAAAACGTACTGCACCGGTTGCCGGTCGGCTCCGGTCTCATATCCGTTCGCGCTTGCGAGACTCTCCGATACTTAAACGTTTTATATATGTATGTGTGCGTGTGCATGTTCATATATATTTCTATATATATATTTTTTTTTATTTTACATGTATATGTAGTAATCACGCGCGTGTAAGAACTGGCTGCACGTGATAGAGGAACGTCGTATTCATTCTGCACATAAGTGTTGTGTTGTATCCTTTCTCTTTTCGTTTCTCTCTCTTTCTCTCTCTCTCTCTTTCTCCCTCTTCCTCTCTTTTTTACCATCCTTCTTTCTATCTCTCTCTTTTTTTTTTTGCAAACAACGTCACGGGACCGCGAACTCCCGTCAAAAATGTAAACGCCATGAAAAAGGGTCTACTACTAACTACTACTACGTTGATCAAGTTATGTTTTATTTTGTTACTTAACTATGAAAGAATTTTTATAAACACGTACAAAGTTTTTTTTTCAAATGTTTGAGTTAATTTGATTGGTTGTTTGTGTATTCTGTTGTCTTCTCTATTTATTGTTTTATTTTATTTTATTTTATTTTATTTTTATTTTTTTTCCAATGAATATCATTAAAACACGTTTATTGAGTTAAATACAAAAAAAGGAAAGAATGAGAGGGAGAGAGA